ACTTGATTATTTAACAATAAGAAATTCATTGAGGTGAATTTTGAAAGCTTTATTCTACCTAGCTCTAGAATATCCATTAGTCTCTACCAGTGGCTCTTTCGCACATTAGCTAAATTTACATGCTCATAACTTTTCAGAAGATTTATGTTTCACAATGTTTTTTTTTTGTTTGAGAATGTAAATCTGCAAGATGCATTCATATACTTTGAATGAAAAATTAGTTTGATTTATCATTGTTTTAAAAATTCAACGAAAAAAAAAAACAAGAAAATATTGCACATAATAAAAAGTATTATTGAAATAATAAAATGTTTTATTTTCTGAAGATTGTTTGAGGTAGGAAGAACTTAATGCCTAGAAAATAAATTGATTTGAATAAATATGAAGAGGGAAAAGAATGAATCACATTTAAATATTCAAATCAAGTCATGGGCTGCATGATACACATAATAATGATTGATGATCATTGCATCATGGTACTTTTTTCTATTATTTTTTGTGATACTTCAAACAAGCTATTTACACTTTCATAACACGTACAATAAGATATTACATAAAATAATCATGTGTACATTATGAAAAATATACATAGTAATTTGTTTTTCTTGTATACTTAATTCAATTTAACATGCTTACAACATTGACTGAATTTAAATAAATTTATTACCGTAATAAAAAAAACTTTGATTCATTTTTATCAAATATGACAATACTATTCATAAACGTGTTATACATAATATTTCTGAATAATATATTTTTATACAATCTAGTGCCTTAAAACAATTTAATTACATTTTATGCAGTTTTGCATTACTGAGGATACCACTGAGCAAAGTGGACAGTACATGGCCTGGTCTTTGAGCTCCTAAACTAGGACAGTCATTAATTATATATTTCATTGTTAACATAGTGTTGTCATCGCATTTCCAACCTATTAAACACATTGCATTTTACATTAGCTACACATATATTAGAATCAGTGTGTTCAATCTTAAGTCTTTGAAACATTACTTGCTCTTTGCGTTTGAGGATAAGGTTGGAGAACTTTTCATAGCCATTTCTTCTGATCTGTTGTAACTTTCTCGTAGACTTTTCTTATTCCTTCCTATTCCACGTTAAAGGGATGTATTTCTTTAGTAGATGTTTAGATACTAGTATGGTTAAATAAACCACTTCAATATCAATAGTATCTGTTACACTTTTTTTTTTGCAAATTCATCTACTTGATCATTTTGGTGGAGCGTAAGCTAGAGAAATACCTGTTCCTTGGTGGTCTGCTTGTAACAGTTGATGAACGATGTTTCTTATCTATTGGTCGGTTTGTAAGAAGTGCTGTAGGGCCATTGATACACTCAGGAAATCCGTTGAAATAAGAGAGAAGTCTATTCTTTTTGTAAGGATCATTTCTAAAGCTTTTTCTATGGGGCATGTTCTACAGGTAAAAATTAATCAAATTTTTACAAATTTTTTATCATTTTTGTTGTAAAAATATAATGGATAGAATAATGGATAAGATGCATTCAACTGACAACTTAACTTTGGTATATTTTGGAGAAAATTTTATTATGTATTAACTTACACAAACTAGATGAAAGACTGACTGGCTTCAAAGGCTAACAATTAAGACTATAAAGAGAAGTTAAATTAATTTATTTCGTTCATGTCAATTGTTCTTTATTATGACAGTACATCCTCCTTTCTAAGTTTTGGAGCTATTTATAAAGATCTATTGAATAAATTGTTCACATTGATTACAGAGTTCAATAAATAAGTTCTTCGATACTGATGATGACTAAATGTTTTGATTAATGCATTTTTAATAGCTTTTATTAAAATATACTTTCGAATAAATTAAAAAGCTTTTATTGTTATTAACTATCGTTTGATTATAATTATTCACATTATGATGAACAATACATTGATTATGATGAATAATCAATAGATATTCGTTGCACGTAAAATATGAGATTGTCTCAAATCTAAGCTATTCAATATACGATATATTGATAGGTCGAAAATTCTCGTTGAATTAAATAACGGCATTAACAAGACCAAACTACAATAGAATTTACAAACAAGGGGTGTGAGAGTTTTCCATTTAGATAGCCAATTTAGATCCAATTATTTCTGAAAATTATTCTGGGATTTGTTATAGACAAGCCATGATTTGAATGAATTGCAATGAATAGAATAAATAATAAACGCTTCAATCTTTACACAATTAAAGTAATTAGTATAATTTAAGTGATTTTATCTTTAAAAAAAAAAAATTAAGAAAAGAAAAAGGATGAGAGAAGTACTTTGACAGATGAAAAAGGTTTAATACTATCACACTAATCTCCAGAAGTTCAGATAATTAATAAATCAGACCTATCTCAACGATTTCTACTTTACTCTTTTATACGTTAAATGTAATCTTTCACTAAGATGACAGTGAATAGCTAGTAGAGAAACTTTACTTGAGTTAACTGAGGAGAAAGCTTTGCTTGAAATTTTTTAAACAGCTCACAGCCATTTAATGGACTGTTTTATCAAATAAATTTTCATTCATGTCATTTTATACTTATCATTAGTTAAAAAGCTTTTTTGTTATAGCCAGTAAAATGTTTAAAACATTTTTTTCATTTGAATAAAAAATTTTTAAAATCTGTTCAGTTTTCAACTGGATGATTTCCTGTAAAGCAAGGAGCACATTAAATCACTTTGATGAAATTTGTAAGACGTAAAAGAAGTATAATTAATTTATGGAGAATGAAAGCCACATCTAGATTTTACATTGACCTGAGCTTTTACGTAAAGGTTAATTTCTAAGGACTCTTAAAGAGTGAGTTTCGTGAGTCGATGGCTTCTGGATACGGTGCCAGCATAGGGGTAAAATACGATCAGGAAATTGTAGCCTCAAAGAAAAAAAGGTGAGCTCACTTGGAAAAGCACACTTTCTATTAAACTTCAAAGAGAATCTTATTTCATGACCAGACGACATTTTGCTGTGTCTGCGCGGTCACTTTGACTACTTGTCATGGTACCTGAGTTTAGCGAAGAATAATAGTGTTGCAGACACAAAACTTGTATTAACGTCCATTATAATAAATGCTATTTTATATTTTAATTAAAAATTTCAAGCTATTCTTTAGTGACTTGTTTATTTTCTACTTAAGATGCATTTAAATTTTTTTCCTGTTGAATTTTATAATTTCTCATACATGTAATGGCTGTAGAATACTTAGATTATAAACATGTGCTCTCTCGAAGTAAAGCAAGTGTATAAAAAAATGGATTAAAAAAAAAAAGTATTCAACTCGTGAGATTATAAACGTGTTCTGAATAATCATTTTAATTATATTTTGTAAAGATTTAAAAAAATCTCTAAGTAAAGATTATAGAATACAAAATCTCAAGAGAATAATCCTACTGTAAAAGATACGAAAAAATAATCTCATTAATACAAAAAAAAATCCATGTATAAAACCTTGATGATAAAAAACCCCTACAAGAGCACTCTAATGATAAAAAGTTTAAATAAATCAACTAGGATATTTTTTTAAAAACTAATTACATCAGTTACATATGCTTTTTGCTTTTTAGACCCTGTTTTTAGTTACACCTGAAGCAATGTTACTTTTATTCTTCTAGTGTCATGAAGTATCGGCTTTAGTTAATTGGTACATCTAGAAATTTTTGTGGAATATTATTTTTTAATTTTATTATTTATTTTCTCAATTCAAGTTTGTTGTATTAAGTAGAATATTATTGATCTGACTTAATAGTAATTACTGTTCAAATTAACTCAGAATTTTATTAGTTTTAATAAACATTAGAACTCAAAGTTTTTAATCTTCTGCTCAACTAATTATCAATAAATTAAATAAAAAACATAATACGTTAAGAAGCCTGAAGAATCAAAACAATACTTATTCGAATAATTAGTAAAGTTATTTTCGTCCAAAATATTATTAGAAGTACACTTTCTTAATTTTTATAAACCTGGCAAGGAGAAGGTTAGTTGTTTAGACCATACTAAAATTTGATATAAATAGTTCACAAAAATTATCAAATTGATTATCAATTGGCTTGAAATCTTGAATCAAATAGTCAAATTCAAAGTTCAATTTTAAATCACTTTAGTCTTTTTAACTCTTTTTTGAACCAATTAAACACTTGTACTTTTTCTTCATTGGAGTTATTGATTTAATACTTAGAGCATATAAAAGTCTATTCGATACTCCATCACCTAAAATCCTAGTAGAAGAGAGCTTTAAGTTGGCTTGACTGAAAAAGGGGCCACAATAGTGGTGTACCAATTGTGAAATCAGTGTTTTATATGGTGTAGATAAGATTGTAATAATTTTTTAATTTATACGAAATAATGGAGTTGCTAAAGTGTTATAGATTTTCATGTCTTACAATGTCAACTCAACTGCTTTATTTATTATCGCTTTATCTGAATATTATCGAAAAATTTCACATTTTCCTAGATTTCACAATAAAAACTCTATAAAAGTTGTAGCTGGGGTAACTAGATTTTTTTCACAAAGAAAAATAGAAAACATGTCTCTCGAAGTTTCCTTGTAAGTTTGCCTCAACTTTTTACTAGTATCTCAACTACTCTTCAAAACGATTTATATACAGCTTGCGACAGTTCACACGTGTTCCACTGGAATACCCCTCACTTTGGGTAGACTGTCAGAAGTGACCGTTGGATCTCTAAAACTTAGAAATGAGAACGGGTGTCGTTCTTGCAGAAAACTTTAATTACTTACAAAATCTTTTCAACTGGTGATTAATATTCTCTAGACTCTGGATCATTTATAATTAATCCCGTTGATCTTTGCCAAACAGATGAATACTTTATGAGATAATTGAGGTCAATTAAAAATACATCCAAGACTGTATTTAATGAAAAAAAATTTATTTTTTTAAATAATGAATTTTTTGTTCAATGATTTAAATAAATAACATAATATTTGTATCAATAACCTTGACAATATTTCCATCAAAATGTAATTTCATTCGCTATCACTTATATATGTAAACTCTGAAATACTGTAAAATTCAAAGTCACTCTTGTGCTCAACAAACCACAATGATATTTGTGCAATCTAATTGACATTTAGTGACTAAAATAGGCTTTGTACAAATTTCGATTACGTATAAATTATCATTTGTTTAACAAATCATCACATATTGCGGTAATAAAATTACATTTATGATCACAATTTAAACAGTTCTTATGAAAAATTAAATTTTCACCTTTAGTTACCATATGAAATAATGATTCATATAAAGAATCCCATTTATCTGTGAAAAATAATTCTTTCACAAAGTATTTGAATACTCAAAAACACTCTTGATTCCACTTGATTACAAATCGCGAGGATAATTAATTGATTAATGTTCCACTTGTCATGACACTTTGTTACTTTCATTATTTTTACACGATATTTACATTGATAATTAAAAACACACCTATCTCAAGATCCATCAAATTACATCTTTCAAAGTCTTTACAACAACTTTTTCCTTCACCTGAGACTCTTCTTTTGGCTTAGATCCCGTTACTCTAACTTTATCTTTTTTAACTGCTGATGCTGCTGGAATTTTCTTTTTTTTCTTCTTTGTCTGCGAGGTCTTGAGATTCATCGCTTGACTTGCAATATCATCGCGAAAAGCAAGAAAACCAAGTTGAGCGTGGGAGGCTTCGTTGAGAGCACGAGATCTTATGCAAGCACGATACTGATCTGCCGATAATCTCTGACCCGGACCACCGGAACAAACCTGCAAAACAACAGAATACTCATATTACTTTTTGATATCATTATTTTTTTACTTGACAGTTTGTTTCAGTTGAAAGAACAAAAATCTATAAAATTTAATTACAAAAACGTATACTCCGTAATAAAGTTAATAGTCCAATTTTAACGGCACAGTTTCATGTGCGAAAATAATCGAGAGAATTATTCAACGACTAAAACAAAAGGAACGTGTACTACTACGGCGTTCAGGAAAAGCTGGTTTGAAATTTCCACGCTGTGTAACTACAACCTAGTCCACTTGGATCCTTAATTGCCTCGGTTTAGAGCGACACTGTGAGTGCAGTGATTTCGACCGTCGTTTACGACAAGTGGAGTCTACAACCCGAGCCTGCTGATTCTCTCCATTCTAAGCACATGCCTCGTATATTCTCGTACACTTTATTCATACCTCAATATTTGTCTAGGTCTAATTTTCTTGAGAGCCTCACTGCTACATTTTCATCAACATATATTCTATTGCACCACCGAATGCATTTTTATTTAATCAAAGTTTCTTTTATTCATCAGCATTTTTCTATCTTTACGTGAAAAAATGTGATCGCTGGAAAAGTCTTCTCACGACTTCTCATCACTTTATATTGTAAATTTACAGCCTTTTTTTTATTTACTTTGCATTAACATTTTATCTAATCATTTACGTTGCATGATTTTAAATAATATTCCATTTAAATACTGTTTGATTTAGTAGGAAGTTTTATAAAAAAATTAGTTTAAATAAATTTTGACTAAATACGATACTTATCCAATTAAAAGATTAAGTTGGAAAATTTTACGTTTTTTTGGGAAGTCTGATGTTAATTAAAAGTCTGATAATGAAAGATAACTCTTCCGTAACGCTGCCCAAATAAGATTAATTATAATAAATTACGTAAAAGGGAATAAATAAATTAAGTCATTGAAAAGACTTGAAACTGTGAACTGGAATTAAAAATAAAAAAAAAATAGTTTCAAACACTCGTTGAAAAACTTAGAGAATTTTTTTACTAAATAAAATATTTCGGGTTCAATACTTTGTATTTTTTCATCAACTCTTCAAACACACTTTTAAAAACATTTTTTTCATTGAAAATAATTAATTTATAGTTTACCATTTTTATTTCTATACGAAAATGATATGATTGAATGCAACGGTTAAATTAGGACAGTGTGAAATTATGTTCTCTTTCTAATGTCTTAATAACAAATAAAGCTAAAAAATTATAATTATTGTAAATAATTGAATGACAATTGAGATAAAAAAATTAATATGACATCAATCACATACATTTTTGGGTCATATATGTTATAGTTCACACTATAGCGAAGAAGAGATTCTTTCACTACAAACCCAAGTGTTTAGAAACTAAACACTTAAAGTGTTTGCAATGGTAAACATCATGAAAGAACTATGGCAATTTTGTAGTCGACTTTTAATAGCTTTCGGCTATTTACCAAAATGCTATAGCTTGTTTATGGTGTTCAACATTGTAAACACTTAGATGTTTAATTATTAAACACTTTAAGTGATTTATCACTAAACACATGAATTTTTCCGGATTTGCAATGTATACGGTACACAAGTAACACATCAGATATTTTTACCAACAACATTTATTAACTCATAATAAATTTGTAGTTGTGTTAGACAAATGCTGGAAAAAATTTCTAATAAATATTTTATTCTTTTTAAAAAACTCTTTCTACCACATGGTGCATCACTGCATCACAACAGCCAATTATTTCCTATTCAATTAAATAAAGATTAAAAATATATATTAATATTCTACCTTATAAAAAAACACTGTCTAAAACAAGGAAATAAAATTTGCTCGATTCAATTTACGATGGCAAGTAGTAGCGTATGAAGATATGCTCTCAACGTTTTGCGGTGAGTTGAAATCCGTGAATCATCGAAATAGTCACTGGAACTCTATATTGACTCTATGGAATTTCATATAAGCAACTGGTATGCTGCGAGATACTAGATAGAACTATTTGACCAGATAGAAAATTGCTCGTGCAAGCAAGTCTCAGGCATGTCCATATGGAACTCAATTTGCTCCATTGCCGTACAATCACACTAACAAAGCTAATTCAGTAGTCACGTTAGATTGCAGAGAGAAGTCCGTCCCGACCTGTTAACTACTACGTTCAAGCCATTTTATATATAATCTACTTTTTGACTCAATATCAAGTCAGATATCCTAAAGTTGATTATTTATTTTCAAACTTCACCGTATTTATAGTGAGGAAACAAAATTGTAGTTTTAACGATGAGTTTAATTATTCGTAAATGACTTTAAAAGTTGTCGACCTCAGTTTCTCGCCTCACGCCTCTAAGCAACGAGTTGAGTCTAACGACCCCGTCGACACCATCGCCAACCATCTCATTCCGATCGATGGCCAGCTTATTAGCAAGCAAGTTCCGATAATCTCGTTATCTGTATACCTGAGCATAGAGGTTATTGAAGACTTAAGTAAACGAGGTCCCTGGGTACCCATGAGGAAACCGCTAAGTCGTCATCGCCAGATTTACGTTAAATTGCTTTAAGTAATTTATAACTAGAATCCAATAATTGATCCATGACAAGTACACTAATTTTCTCCATCATTTCAATCATTTTTATTCCTCTTTCGAACAAACTTTGATTAAATTTACCCTAAAATTAAAGACAAATTTTGATAGACTTTTTTTTTGTTGATAAAATTTTTAGCAAGGAAAATATTTTATGTATTTGCTAGAATATGCTATTGGAGTAAAAAGGTAACATTGAATAATTTTTTCAATACTGGGTCCAATATCAATTAAAAACCCTATAAGGTTTTATTGACGGAAGAACTTCAAAGAGAATTCATTGAAGTCAAATTAAAGAATGGATGTTTGTAAAAGCAGTTTACATAACTTGAAAATTACTATAAATTTTGTAATGTGAATTATTAAATCATTTATAGAAATAAAAAAATTAATTACAACACTCAATTTATGCAGTTCTAATTAATTTTAAATTGCAGAAATTTTATTTTATTTCGTAAAGTATTAAAATTAAAAACGCAAATTATTTCTTGTTGAAAGTAATTTTTTTTAATATTGCAGCCTTTTATTCTCCTGTGAACATAAATCTTATTTAGTATATGACTTCTTATGATTCAACTATTTAATTTTAAAAAAATTCGATAATTAATAATAAACTTCGTTTGTACGAAATAAAATAAATTTATTACTAACAAATGTTGCAAAAAGTTATTACAAATGAGTTTTATTCAGCAAAACAAATTTACAATCTCAAATATGTTTCCCATAGGATCCTTCTACAACATTCAACTATTTAACACAATGAGTAATTGAAGAAGTTTAAAAAAAAATCGTAACTGTAAGTTAAACAGCAACCAAGTATTCAACGAACGACTTGAACGATATACAACTACAAAGCTTGTCTGACTTTATGACAATTGCTCTACTTTTTTCTCGTTACGACTTGCTCGGATTTTAGTGTGAAGGGAATACGAGAGATTGCATATTCTTCGGTAATGGCGTCGAGTTTACGGAAATGTACTTACGATAATAGTTTCCACAAGCCACAAACTATTATTCTTTTTCTCAGCATATTGTCAACTTTAACGTTGGAGATTTTCTTGGATATTTTTATTGACAATGTATTGTGAAAATGGTACCATAAAAAATGATTAAGCTAGATTTGTGATATTACTTATTAAGAGAAAGGAAACAGATGGATTTGCTATCCTGTCTTAATTTTAAGGCACGATTCTTGACAATTTAACATAGAATCACGATCGTTACGGCAATCTCCCTAATAAGAAGTGAAACTGGCCCACTTCTGACCCGACGATTGACTCCAGCTGATTAGACTGGTCTGGTGTTGAGTTGAGAATGAGCCAGTCTTGCCTCTGCCTTGCTTCTTATTACCCACAAGTTCAAATATTAAGATGACATTATTTCCCTCCTTTCTCTTTGTTTCCTCAAGACTAAATTCAGTTCAGTTTCAACTTCAAAATCTTTAATTCTTTTGATGTTCCAATTGCCGCCTATAATTTAATTCCGTTTTGGGAATCATCAACCTCAGTGAAGATTTTGATGTCTTAAACTGACCAAAAAATCTTATTTTGGTCATCAATGTTATTATAAATGTTTATAACATTGTTTGTATGGCACTGATACATTTTTAAGATTTCAAATAAGTTTTATAAGATCCATTTTTCCATTTCAATTTCAAAGTTATAATTGAAGATTTTTATATTAAAAAAGTATTTTAAATTCTGTCTATGATCATCTACTGAACCTGGCAGCATATTATAACTTTTGTTTATTAAATATTAACAAATATTCATTTATATTATTTGCATTGAAAGCAAATACATGTTTTTATTAATATTGAATAAATATTTCTATCAGCGATCAAAATGAAGTTCTGCGTCTTTGGTTATACCGTAGTCGTAATTGTCTTTTGCTATTTTTTTTTTAATATTACCTTTGGATGCCAGGTGTGAAATATTCCAGGATCTGTTGCTCTGATCACTTTGATACTACTCCGAACATATTTACGATATAAAGTAACATCTTCTCCACCCCATCCAACGATGTCTTCATCAAATCCGCGAACTCTTAAAAAATCCGACCTGAAAAAAAAAATATTTTTTTAGCTTCAACATTTTTTTATTCTTTTCAATAAGACAAGAAAGCCAAGGAGTACAGAACGATCAAACAATTGTATTGAAAGAAAATAAAAGCATTCGAAATAGCACACCTGTACTGACAGGTCATTCCATAGCCAAAGTCTCGCCAAAAGCCTGTGTCTCTAGATATCACAAGTTGATCCCGTTCCGGTGGTACTTCACGTCCCTGAAGCGTGTAGACTACGTGGGGGTTGTAGAGACTGAAGACAATGGGATAATAGACCTTACGCCCTGGAGCTGTGTTCCAACGACACCTGCGACAAAGAATTTCTTGAATTCAACCATCTCTCGAGCTCCTAAACGTCAACATATAAAGTCTTATAGAATTTATTTAATGTTGAGAGAAAAAAAACATTGGTTCCAAATAAATAATTCGGTATCAGAAATTGTTTACTCTTGAAAAATAATTCTGTTTTAATAGAAAAATCTTTTTATTCAATGATTCAACATAACATTTCTTTTTAATAATACTTTCGTATAATGTAAATTAAAGTTAAATAATTGCATGCTTTAAATTTCATTATCTTTCTCTACATAGTTTTTTTAAGAAAAAATTAGAATTGCTATTTTTAACGTAAGCTCTTATAGCAGTCACGTGATCTACCACTAGGCTTCCAACAAAGCTTCTTAAATTGAAGAAAATCGATTTAAAGAATTTTTCCAGAGTGTTTTATTGAATCAATGGATGTTTATTTAGAAAAAAAAAAGAAAATTGATAAAACGAATTCCTAACCTGTCGAGAAATCTGGCACTGAACACAACATCAACATCGCACATAAATAGAAGGACATCTCCATCAGCATTCCAAGCTCGTTCAGCACCAACCCTCAATCCTTTTCCTCTCGAGAATGTTTCATTGAGAGCTAAAAGACGAAGATTTTGATTGGTTCCACCGCTGCCTTTCGTCATCAATACTCGTGACATAATAGCCCTAGCTTCCGAAAGCCCTTCAGTACCAAAGTAGACGACAGTTAAATGGACTCTTCGATCATTTTTTAATCCAATTTTTACAAACTTATCCATAAAACTTTGGAAAGTTGCCGTGCGTCCTGATAATGGAAGTATTATATGAATAAGCTCTTTCTCTCGTGCCTGCTGTTTTTGTAGTGACACATAGTGAATAGGAGCATAGGGTCTCATCATGACGATCTTTGTATACCCAGTATTCATCGAGACTTGCGAGCTTTTGTTGAGTGCTTTAGATCTAAAGTACATTTCGTACTGAGTCCCAGTTGTTGGCTCAACTCTATACAGACCTTCAAGAAAATCCTCTTGAGTATAACGCGCGGCGATGGAAGACACATTTTTATTAAGAGTATCTATAGCTTTTGCCAAAGCCTCCAGAAGGTCTTTTCTTTTAAATCCTATGGGTTTTTCTACAACCCTTTTACCAAGACCTAGGTCAACTGGGTAAAGTCGAGAGAAAGTAAAATGGCTGAATGCTATCAATTCGTACTCATTGTTTAATGGTAAGCCTTGACTTATTTCTGCTAATTCAACTTGACGTCTCGCTGCTAAACAATCACCTATTTCTGTTGAATTCAACGCAGCCACTGTCTCTCCATGTGCTAATGGTCCACCTGGAATTCAAAAATCGATTCTCTTAAATCAACCTTCGAGCCAAAGAAAAAAAATACCTCTACCACACCAGCTTGAATTATAACTACCTCACTGTTAAACCGCTATCATTGAACCCACTATAAATAACCAATCTAGAAAAATCTCTTTGCTACTTTTTTTTTACAATTGTAATAGCTCAATAAAAATACAAACATTCAACTGTTACACAACATTGACTTGATTCTCTAGAATTTTTCAATACTAAAGCCAACTTTTTATTCCAACAGTTTCAGAGAAAAATGTACCGGAAATTTTAATATTTATTTTAAAAACGGAATCGTAGAGCCAACTATAAATGGCTTTAAAATACGAGAAAAAAATAGTTTAAAAAGTTTATCACCATCAAAAATATATGAAAATTCAAAAAAATATTCAACACGGTTCAACAATGGAGAGTATTTATTTAAAAAATTGATTTAATGATGGCAATTTCACTTTGATTGGCAACTTAGCTTCTAAAACAATTGCAGTATTACTCAGAGATGTAAAAAATACTGAAGCTTTCCACTTTATTTTTCTAGCACAAAAAAGATAAAAAAGACTAAAAAGTTGGAACACATACTGCATTTCCTCTGTCTTCATCTTTCTCTTTCTCTCTTAACTTACTGTTCTCAGTTACTATCCACCCACTCCAATCAATTTCACATCGTTTTCTCTGTTTTATATTATTTTTCACTCCATCTTACGCGCTGACGATAAACGTTAAAATTTTCTAGCTAATAAAAATGTTCGCTGAGTTACGACAGCGAACGACAGACCGAATCACTTTTCAACGTAAGTTTAAAGCTTCTCTATGTTGAAATAACACGTTCCATTTTCTTTCGATTCGTTGCTTCTATAGCCCAAACTATTCTTTGCTTCTCTCATGATCTCGTATAGTACTTAAAACCTCTATTATAGCGAATCGTTCTTCTTCTCATAAATGCAGTAGAACGTTTGTTGTCAACGACAAAGAGACTGTGAAAATAAAACACTGTAAACTCTATCTCATAAAAGATATCTTACTACTAAACTTGACTCGATGTTTAAATAAATGAATAATTAAAAATAATTAACTAAATGTAATTGATGTTTTACTGCTGTATTATTTTGTATAGCATTATCTAATTAAAATAAGAAAAAGTAAAAGAAAAGAAGCTTCATGACATTAATTTCTATTCTAACATTAATTTTATCAAAACAGTCATTTTAATTGAATAGTTTTACCCTAGGATAGGGTATTGCATATTGAATGTAAGTCTAATGTAAATATTTTGATTGAATTTTAGGTTGGTGCTATTCTATTGAATAGATTGAACGTATTCATTTATGAATTGCTCAAGCCAGAACACACTGTCCAGTTTCATCAAGCAAAGCCTTATCTCCAAGCTACCTGCTACAGCTTCTTAGCCTTCACACCAACATTAGCTTTATCCCATGCTAATTCAGATCAGCTTAAACCTTGATGTATCCAGTTACTGGAGCTCGCAGTAAGTACTCACTAATAGAACATGATCTAACTATCCTACAGCCAACATAAGCATTTTCTGACCATGTTAATATGTTCTGAAACTTGTCTACAAACATCAACGTACATTAGGATCTCTCTTGCTGCACTTAAGAAGCCTAGTGTTATGCAATAAGAAAATCCCACAATACATATTCCATTCTATCTTACGTGTACCCACCTGTTAACTGGAGTATTTGTAATTTTAATGTACGAATTTCAGCAGTCAGTCGTTCAATTTCAAGTTTTGTTTCTTCCTCTCTTTGATTAACTTCAACAAGGTTTGATGTTGTGATGGGGTCTGTAAAAAATGTATTAAAATTTATTAGCTTGTTACTTTATACAGATTGCATTTATATAACATGCCAAGGTAAAAAACCAAAGACTTTCAAGAGTTTCATAGCTGCTATCAACAAGAGCAACTGATTTATTTCTTCTTAAGTACTTCAAGTTCCATCCCTAGAGTATCTGTCGGTGTTAGCTATAGTTTTCGCGCAGGTGAAAAAAAGCGGCAAGGGTTTACGACCTGTAAAGAATCGAGACAGAAAGTACGATAAATCGAGGTACTTTTTTCTCAACCGTAGTTTCCACCAAGTGTAAGTGAAATGAATGTCTTTGTTCCAAGTTTAATGGGCCACCGAACAGTGCAGCCGAAAAATCTAACATTTCTCGTTCTTCTTACTTCCTGTTATTAATAATTTATTAAAGGTTCATGCTTTTAATGAAATTATTTGAGAAAATTTCAAGAAGAGTATGAATTAAATAGAAGGTAATTGTATTCTTTTTAAATATTTACATCATCATTTCAGTGTAGAGAAGCAGAAGAACTTTTTTCACTACAAATTTCGTTAATATATTCGACGGCAAGAGGTTTCTTGCTGGTAATAATACAGATAGCTGTGGGTAAAAGGTCCTACTATATATTATATACTTAAACACATACAGATATATTTTTATAAAACATGGATCTTCAGTTGCAGACATGCACTTGCAACAAACCAAATATGGAGATTCCTTGGCTTCTTCAGATGCAATTTTTTTTTTAATTTTATTTTTATCTTCTTTTTTGCTATTTTATCTCGGGTCATTCAAAGTAATATGCAATGTAAGAAAATATGCTACACTAGCATATTTTGCTTATTTTCAATTCTGCTCCATGTTTTTCAGTTTCTCAACTGATCTTTGTGATCTTAGAATGAGATAAGATGACGGATCTTTGAATATTCTTTGCATGAAAACTTTCATAGTAAATCAATATCACATAAATGCATTGGTGACTTTTTTATTTAGAATTTTTTTCAGCTTTTTCTTTATCAAAAGCTTTTATTTGACATAAACTTTTTAATATATTACATAAAAAGCTCAGCTTAAAATTCACAAGAAAAAATTAATTGAAACTGGTTGATAGAATATCAATTCTTATTGAATTAAAAAAGAAAGAAGTATATCATTTCACAAATATCTTTTCAGTGTTTCATGTGAAAACAGTAAAAATGAATCACTCATAATTTAATATATTACCAATCGAAGTGTGTTACAGTGAACATATACAAACGTGTTTAATATTAAATGCCATAAACAAATCGTAGATTTTAATACACCTTAAAGTTTCATTGAAGTGTGTATAAAACGATTATAAAACTTCTCTAGTTCGTTTATGGTAGTTAACATTTAACATATTTATATGTGTTTTTCACACAGGCCGATTTACAGTGTAGTCATAATTCTGAGTTTTATCTTATTGTATATAAATGTTTAGATAAAGATAAAAAATTTTTGACGACAGATTTCATTAAGGTTCACAGCTGACATAGTGAAAACTGTGACAAATATGAAAAGAAGGATGAATTTTTTCAAAGGAATTATAAAAAAATACAAAAATCCAACTTTCTAAAAAAAAATTTTCTATTGTTTTTTTAATTAAATTTGAATTACAATTAAATCATTTTGATATTTGTTTGTTAGTCAGTGACAAACAGTTTTTCACGGATTATTTTACATCAATAGTTTAAGTTTGAAATAGTAGTAGTAAATAGTGGCTTAAACATAGATTTGAACTTCAAAAGTTTAATGTAAACTTTAAAAAATCGTTGTGGGAATTAAAGTGAAAGATGAAAAAAATAAACAAATATCCAAGTCCCCATGGAAGGCATCAAAGGGAAAACTTGTTAAATGAAAAATTTTTAAAATATGCAATGAATTAAAATGACTCATCAATTAATGAGCATTACTTCCGCTTACTCCACCTTATCTTCACAAGTATTCCTCCGAATAACTATGACAAAAATTATGAATCTTAAGAGTAAGTGATAGAATGAACGAGAATCATTGCTAGAGTTGATGTGAAGTAATTTTTTACTTTTTATCACACTGTGATTTAATGCTTTGTTTATGTTCCTACAATTTTATTAGAGTGAAAATAATACATAGTAAAATATTGTTGCCATAGCAAAACACATTGTTGTTATAGCGAATTGTTGATAGCTAATATTGGCTTAATTTAGGCAATACACAAATTTATAATAGAATGACTTCTAGGATTTTAAGTTAATTTAAATTCAACAAATATTAGTGGCAGCGTACGAATTAAAATCAGGGTATCGTAATGCGCTTATCATAATACAGGCTGTAATAATAACAATGTGCTTATAACGTGCTTGATATGATCATAGTAGCAAAATATTTTTTCCCATGATAGATTATACATAAAATATTTTATCCATAAAACCTCAAAACATTTTTGACTACATTGTACATCCAAGTGCATTTTTGTTACACATTTAAACGTGTTAAATATCATGTCACCCATTTAATTAACATTGTAGTCACTTTTTACACACCTAAAAATGCATCAAATGTGACTAAAACGTTAATCGAATAGGTGACGACGTCATATTTAATACGTTTAGATGTGTAACAAGAATGCACTTTAATTTACAGTTTACAGCAGACTGTATGTTAAATGTTAAATGACTATAAAGCAATGTTAACAGAATTATTCCAAACTTCACTATTTTAACATCTGCTGGAACATCATATCCAGAAATGAAACTATTGAATTTCAGAGTTAAAACCATTGAAACCCATTAACTTCAAACCTTAAAGGTATTACTACTCACAACTAACTCTGGTGAACGTAATTACCCCAAGTGACCTTATTAAAAAATTTTCATCGCAATAAAAACATTACGTCATCAGTACGAATCAACAAAGCAATTGACATCAAAGCTGGTAGGTATAATTGGAAAACGTTTTATAAAGTAAAAGTAAATAACTTTACCATGTAAAAGTAAGTACTAATTTACACACATCTGCGTATGCATTTTCTACTTGTATTTATTTTCTCATTTTTCCGTACATAGAGTAATGTAAATATCTCATGGGCAAAGTAAGCGGTACAGACCTTCGTCACACACAGAGCATGTATGCACAACCGAGTGCTTTTCCTCCTGTTATTCTCTCGATCTCTCTGATTCCAATACCACCAGCTCACGCGCCAACGAATGTGAGTATGAGTGAGCGATAGCTACATTGCACGTAGAATCACACGTGAGATAGCGAACGAGAGGAATCGGTAGTCGCATAGAGATGAGCACATGCATCTAGTATACATAGGACAGGTGTACTAGATATTTTCACTATATATAGACTAAATCCCAAGGGATCTATTGATCCTACATTCTCCACCATGGGAATCAATTTAATTTTTGTATTTACACATAAAAATAAATAAGTCGTTTTATACTCAGTGCCAGTTTTACTTTCTGTAATTGGAAAATTTATTTACCTTAGACTTTTTATTGTATAACCAATGACTGTGAAATTGCCTACTTCAATCATTCACTTTATTACCTCATGTAATATTTATCAAAACCTTTCGAATAAATTTTTTTCCTGTTGAAGTACAATATTTTATACAGTTTAATGGTAAATAGTTGAAATATTTTTTTAACACTCAGGATAATCATAGGAATTATTTTCATATTTAATTAATGCATTGATAGCTCATGAAAAGCTGGAAAAATGTATTTGTTTAATGCATGAGAGTATTTGGGTTTTTTTTTCAATTTTGAGTTTTCCAATAAATTTTAATGAAAGCATGTAACATTAAAAACAAAAGAACAAAAATAATATTTCAAAACATTGTAAAAAATGAAGATAATAGATTTAATAAGAATGTAAATCCTTACAATTTTCTCCGGGCCAATTCCACGTTTTTTTCATGTTTTTACTTGTGTGAGGAAGACAGTTGGAAAAGCGAAAAGCCCGGATACAACCACGCAAATAATTGGAAAGTTTCTTTTATAAAACCTCTATTGAAAGGGGCCAAGGTTTTCTTTCTCGAACACTCAGTTTGCGCAAAAAAATAACTCTTCAAGTTCTCAACGCGATGACCTATACTAAGAGATAGGAATCAAAAGGAGATGGAAAAAGGAAGAAAAGAAAATAAGGGATGGCATCAGAAGATACGGCGCAACGACTGGAAAGCGATAACGCCTTTTAACGAAACTTCGAAAGCATTGGGCTCAGTTTATCTTCCACGATGCCATGGAATTCCAATGGCGATTTCTTGGACTCTCCAACTTCTTCTTCTTGTTCAATTCTCCACTACTTTATCGGACTACCCCTGATTTGCGTAATCCGATGTGGAATAGTATAACTTTCATACAAGATGTAATAAAAAAGTCGGCTACTTTTGCGTGGAACTTTTCAAATAAAGTAAATAAGTAAATAACGTGAGATGTAATTTTACAACTAAGAAAGTTGTTTCCGACTTGACATAGGTATTTGCATAATTATAATGTAAGTTCAATATCTTAATCGAAATGCAGGTCGACAGCAAATCATCTATAGGAAAGTTTCAAGAAAATGTAATTTAAGAGAGAAGCTTCTTGTGAAAATTTTATTAAAGAAAATTTATTTTTTATTGCTTTTCGAAATTATCCTTTTTGACGGATTTTATGATAAATACACCAACTTTTAGAATTACTTTTCTATAGAGGAGAAGGTAGTATTCTAATGCACATGATGTGTTTTATTATGACGTCATCTATTTGATGAGCATTGTAGTCATTTTTAACGCATTTCAAAGTGTATTGAAATAAAACACTACGATTTGCAGTGAACCTGAGTGTAAATTTATTTTCTGTTTTAAAGTTGAGATAGTAGATTTCTCTCTCGTTCTCTCTTTCAAAAAATTTTACAAAGATAAAGAACCAAAAAACTAGTTTCATTATTAAAACTTTCACACTATTTATTACACACAAAATGGCTTAGAATAAATATTCATTGGTTTAAATG